ACCACCCATGGTTTTACAGTGGGTTCAAAAAAATCAGAGAGTTATATTCAATGGAACAGTTGACAGCACAAATACAGCTAAAGACTCAAATCTTTGAAAGAAGATGGGGACCAGTTCAAAGCCTTATTGGATAGGTCACTTATGTCTCTATGTTTGTATTTTTGCTTGAAGTTTGTCTATTTACTCTTATTTTTTCCTCAGATCTTTATTGTCATTATATATATATATATATATATATATATATATATATATATATATATATATATAATCTTTATTTGTGAGCTCGGGCCCAATCTCAGGACTGTTCTTATTACTGTTTGTATTTATGTTGACTGCTGTCAATAAATGTTCAAAAAATAAATAAATAAACATTTACAAAGCGATTTAATACTTTCGAAAGTCATGATCGCAATATATATGTCTGTGCCTAATATCCAATGGCCAGAAAGTGATTCATTTTTTTATTAATTGTTAAAATTTTGGTATTTGTTATGCAGCAAGCCCAGAGATTGTTGTGTACACTATAACTTTATATAAAATTAACTTCAATGTGTGATATGAATAAAAAGTGATCATAAACAAATGATTTCTCCACTTAAATAAATGGTGGCTTGGACCAGGAAACAGTATTACATACGTCACAAACACCTCACCACTAACAAGCGGATGGTGTGCAGGTGTCTCCGTTGAACTTCCCTTGGTCCCAGTGTAGCAGTACTTTAGATGAGTTGTGAGTGAATTGTCTCTAAGTCCAGTTCGTGCTCCTGAGAAACGCCGATCGCCAGTCTCGATCCGTCCGCAATTCCTGAGACAGAGAAAGAGAGAACTCATGAGAGTTGTGGTTAGCGGAGAGGCTTCTCTCCCATCTGTCTTCGTAGAGCTGTCTTTATGCTGTGGGAGCTAACGAGCTCTAGATGCAGGCAATCGGCGTGATGAGATCCAGGTGGCTTGAGTGCTCCTTTTCCAGGATGATGCTGATTATCCATTGCGCAGCCTGCCAGACTATACATCCCTGCTGAAAAATCCAGCTTAAACCAGCCTAGGCTGGTTGGCTGGTTTTAGCTGGTCAACCAGACTGGTTTTAGAGGGGTTTTGGCCATTTCCAGGCTGGTTTCCAGCCATTTCCAGCCTGGTCTTAGCTGGTCAGGCTAGAAATGGCCAGCTAAATCCAGCTAAAACCAGCTTGACCAGCCTGGTCAAGCTGTTAGGCTGGACATAGCTGGTTTTGGCTGGGCTCCCAGCTTGGCTAGGCTGGTCAAGCTGGTTTTAGCTGGTCATTTCCCAGCCTGACCAGCTAAGACCAGGATGGAAATGGCTGGAAACCAGCCTGGAAATGGCCAAAACCCCTCTAAAACCAGCCTGGTCAACCAGCTAAAACCAGCCAACCAGCCTAGGCTGGTTTAAGCTGGATCTTTCAGCAGGGATCTTAGTAACTACTCAAAACACCCTAGCAACCACATAACAATACCTAAGCAACTGCCTAGCAACCACTCCAAAACCTTGCAACTGCCTAGTAACACCTTAGTAACCACCTTGGAACTACTTAGAACACATAAGTATAACTTATAACCTCTTGCGAGGTATAATCTCACTCAGGCTGCAACCCTTTTCAGATGTTCTAAAACCCATATTTCTACGAAAGTCACACTCTGATTCATTTAAATTGAGCTCAATGTTAAGTCTATGGAATTTTTTTGGTAAGATTTAGGATTGTAGTGTTTAAATGGCTTGTGGTTGTGGCTTGAGTGCTTCGTTATCATATTGAGATGCTTATTGGTTGCTTGGGTCGAATGAGCCTAACTCCATATATGTATGACACTGCTATAATGTTATTGATGTGTGACGTTTATAATGGGATCCAATGGAATTGATGTATTTGGGGATATCCTAGAGGCTCAATGTTAAAGAGCCTTTATTATGTTTTTTTTTTTGTAAACAACCTTCCATGCAGTGTGTAACACAGCTTTAAGTGAATGAAAACATCCACACGAGGATTAAATTTGAAAATGCACTGTTTAAAACTATTGATTCTCAAAGAAAAGTCATCTCAGATTCAAATCTTTTGCTTGCTCAGTATTGATGTCGATATGAAACATTGCCAAATATGAGGTGCCTGATCTCGTATAATGCCCTTCAAACACTAGTCAGTGCAGTGGAGGGGACTGATCATAACGCGGAGCTTACGATCACTGAAAGATGTGGCTGCAATCACAATTTTAATTAAATTTTTTTATACATAAATTGTTGTTTTTCACAATCCCACAGTGTTGCCAATCTTGTGCTGTACTGTTCTTGTCATTTACTGATGATTGATACAATAACTTGCCCTAAAACGTCCGCTTTAAGAATTTGAATGAATAGTGTTTTTGTAAAACATTTAAAATTATATCCCAGATAATGTACAAATGTGGGCCACTTTAGGCAGTTATGCCACACTGGTGATATTCCTTCGGCCCAGACAAAATGAATGTGAGCCTGAAGTGGCCCATCTGTACAGTGTAAAAGGGGGGCTAAAGATTCAAATTCATATATGGGGCATTTAAGGCAATGATTTGGCACTTATGGCAAAATGTAATCTGAATGAGCCCAATGTGACCCATGTGGAAAATCGTAAATTTGGCCCAAAATGACAGAGAAAAAATGTGGGCCACAGTTGGCAAAATAGTAGCATAGTCATTTAAGGGTAATCAGGGTTTAAGGGTCTAAACCTAAAGTGGCTCACATATGTAGGTGCAAATGTGGCCCAGTTATCTTAAAACATATGTGGGCTACTTTTGGCAAATATTTGGCACAGTAAGCTATGGGTATTGCGGCTGTGAGCTTAATGTGGTCCAGAGAAAATATGGCAAATTTGGCCCAGTTATTTTAAGACATATTTGGGCCACTTTTGGCAAATATTTGGCACAGTTAACTCTGGCAAATGCAGTCTTTAGTCTATAGTGGCCCAAAGAAGATATGGAAAATGTGGCCCAGTTATCTTAAAACTAGGATTGTCAAATGATTTAAAAAATTAACGCGGTTATTCACACTTTCACACACGAGTCCCGAAATGCGGAGGTTTTTCTTTCCGTTCGCCATGCAGTATCAAATTCCATTAAAACATCCTGAATGAAAATATGCTGAATGCGTGTAAACTGCAGTTAAACTCTAAAGATTAAAAAATTAACACCCGAAATTGCATGAAACTCTGGAGGAAACGCAGGATAGCCTGGTGATGCGACATTAATTGTTTTATACTCAAACTTTTCTTCTAAAAGTGCGTTCTTGGTCTTATCCATATTTCTTTGCACGTTAAACACAAGCAGGGCCAGAGAAAGCTGTACTGGCGCTCTAGGCAAACGACAATCATGCCGTTTTATTCGTATGGAAGGCCGGGGACTGTGAGGGAGGGGGTGGGTGTAGCCAATGAACATGATGACCGGGGCGTTCGCTCACTATTCTGCTGCCCAGGGCACCGCCTAGTTCGCCTCTATGGACACGCTGGCCCTGAACACACGTCGGCCTCAACAGGAAATAAAAAAAAACTGCAACAGCGGTATTTGCATTTTTTTTTTTACGCTTTAAATATTTTAAATTAAACACGTGTGTTAACGTGCTAATTTTGACAGCCCTATTTAAAACATATGTGGGCCACTTTTGGCAAATATTCGGCACAGTAAGCTCTGCTTAATGTACATTTGAGCCTAAAGCAGCCCAGAGGAGATATAGCAAATATGACCCAGTTATCTTAAAACATATGTTGACCACATAGACTAAAGTCACCATCATGGAGACAGTGTTTGCTTTAGTTGGGCTCAGCCCTAAACCTCTTGATATAAATTTTCTTTTGGGCTGCTATAACTTTTAAGAACTTTGCTTGAAAAGATTGTTCATTACAGCAAACAAAATGAAGTGAGGCAAAACCAAAATTTTGGCCCAGATCTTGCAAACAAGAACAGACCGCCCAAGTGCCATCATTCCATGCGGTATGTTGGCCAGATGTTAGTTTCTGGTGTGGGCCGGATTTGAGCCACATGAATTTTGCTAGCTGGGATACCCCTAACAGTAAAATACATTGTATATCCTCTCTCAAACACTGCAGCGACACAGTAAGTGATCATGTATTTTTTTCTTAAATGATTAGTATATTTTGTTTGTTTATTAGGTAGTTGAAGTGCAAGGCATTACTGTTTTTACAATCTGATTTGACACTTTAACCAGTGTAAATATTTAGCCTTATATGTGAACAACATCTTGCTGCATCTAACTTCTATTAGGCCAGTGCAAACAGCATATACTTTCTTTTAGCACATGGTTTAAATAGCATCTACCTTCTATTGACACTGAGTGTAAATAGCACAGTAATGTAAATAGATTTTTTTGTTGCTATTTTCACTTTGTTTCAGCCTTTGTTGTATAGCATCTGATTCTATTTGGACTTGCATGTTGTTTCTGGATTGAAAAAAAAAAAAAAGGTTAATCCAGAAACTTGTTAAACTTGGAGAAATCATGTTCATTGTGCCACTATACTGTTTTTTAAGGGTAGATCTATTTCTTGTACTGTTATACATTTAAAAGTGTTCAAACTCAAATGCATGACTGACATCTAGCGAATACCCTGAGGAAGAACCTGTGATAAGTTGAAAGCATTGTACGAGTAAATTTAAATTAAACCAGCTCAGCGTATTCAAAGAAACCTTCAGACAACTTCCCCAAGCAGTAACTCAGTGTGCATGACCAAATTTTCAAGTTGGGAGGGAAGAAATTATGACGTCCAAATTTCCAGGGAGACACACTTGGCACAACGTTTTTCAAGGTGACACTTCATGCAGCCTTCATCATAAATTAGTGCACTGAGTGGGTGAGTGGATCAGTCAGAGAAAAAAGAGAGATGTGTATCACTCTGTATCTTTCTCTATGCTTGTGCTTTAAACATATCTATGCAGATTCAATCCATAGACTACGTTCCTGTCAGCTCCAGGGACGTTTTAAACTGAATGGAATGTACCAGGATGGAGATTTTATACTTGGAGGCCTGTTTCATGTTCACTTTTTCACAGTGTTCCCAGAGCTGAGCTTCAGAATGGAACCACAACAACCATATTGTGAAAAGTGTGTTAGACTGAATATTGTATAAATGTGAAGAACAACATTGAAAATTAGAATAAAAAAGTAACAAATAATTAAGAATGTTATGTTTCAATAACCATTTTAATCTGTAAAAATTATGTTCTGTCAATAATGGTGTTTACACAAAAATTACAATGTTTCTTAATTGATGCATGCACTCTGGTGTAAGTGTAAATATGCTAATAATGAATTGTTTTTAAGTTGAAATATCTTTAAAAAATTACTTTTTTATTGTATTATTATTTTAGATTTAATATGGAAGGTTTACAGCATGCACAAACCATGGCATTTGCAATAAATGAGATCAATAAGAATCCAACCCTGCTGCCAAACATTACTCTTGGATACCATCTTTATGACAACTGTGTGATGCTAAGAATGGCGTTCCGGGCTGCCATGTCACTGGCCAGTGGAACAGAGGACTCATATTCTAACCTCAATTGTACTGGCCCTCCTCCGGTGATTGGGATTGTGGGAGATGCAAGTTCAACTCCTTCCATTGCAATTTCCAGTGTTCTGGGGCTGTTTCGAGTACCTATAGTAAGACAAGAGGATGTGCATTTTACATATTAGTACACACACATTCACCTGCATAATTATATATATATATATATATATATATATATATATATATATATATATATATATATATATATATTACAGTCAAGCCTGAAGTTTTTCATACGAAGTAAAATAAAGTTACATTTATTTAACCAGCAAGTTTTTGTTTGTTTGTTTTTGACTGGAAATTACACTTACAAAATAATAAGATGATGTACAAGAGGCATCATTGTGGAAAAAAATAAATCTCAGCCTTTATTTACATTTGTATAAAAACTGTCAGAATTTGCCCTGGGTATGATTAACTGCGCTCGACTGTATGTATATTAGGCCATAAACCTTCTCTGAAAAAGTTTAGTTGTTTACTTATTTTTATTTCTTTTGCCTTGTCTTTCTCCATCTTCTCTACTAAGGTTAGTCACTATGCCACCTGCTCCTGTTTGAGTGACCGGAAAAAGTACCCTTCTTTCTTCAGAACGATTCCTAGTGATGCCTTTCAGGTGCGGGCTATGGTTCAGATTTTAAAGCATTTTAAATGGACTTGGGTTGGTCTCCTCTACAGTGGTGATGATTATGGTGTCTATGCTGCACAAATGTTCCACAAGGAAATGCAGTTGTCTGGACACTGTGTTGCTTTTTCAGAAATCCTGCCCAATGATCACAATCCCAAAGATATTCAGCGTATAATCAGGGTGATCCAGGGCTCTACAGCAAGAGTGGTTGTTGTTTTTGCCCTTTCATCCTTTCTGATACCTTTAATGGATGAGGTGGTGCTGCAGAACATGACAGGTTGTCAGTGGATTGCAAGTGAAGCTTGGGCCACCTCTCTTGAATACCACACTCCTCGTTTCTTGCCCTTCTTGGGAGGAACACTTGGCATTGCTATTAGGCGTGGAGAGATTGAAGGGCTTCATGAATTCCTACTACGTATTCGTCCCAGTAATGATACATCACAAAATATAGTGAGGATCTTCTGGGAAAATCTTTTTGGATGCAGGTTTGAAACTGGAGGTCTAAAAACAGGTCGAGAGCAAGAAAAAATGGAGTGTACAGGACAAGAGGATCTAAGTACAACAAACACACCTTACACTGATGTTTCAGGGTTAAGGGCTTCTTATAATGTCTATAAAGCAGTTTATGCTCTGGCACATGGACTTCATGACCTGATGCAGTGTGAGGAGGGAAGAGGACCATTCATTGGGAACAGCTGTGCTGACATAACTAGCCTTAAACCCTGGCAGGTAGATACACAGATACAGTTTGTATTCTGTACAGACATACATAGGTTAACTACATGTGTAAATTCAAAATGTGTGCTCTATAATGTTTAGAATTTAGATAAACATGTAACACCTGTCCTGTCTACAGTTGGTTCACTATCTACAAAATGTGAACTTCACCACAGGCTTTGGGGATCATGTGACATTTGATAAGAATGGAGATGCTCTAGCCATCTATGATGTGTTGAATTGGCAGCCAAGCTCTGATGGGTCAATAACAGTACACAAGATTGGTGTAGTATATGAAGGGGCAACAACAGGGATGATGCTCACACTGGATGCAGATGCAATATATTGGAACTTTGAAACCAAAAAAGTAACTAACCTTGTCTGTTCGTAACCCTTTTCAAAGATCAGAATTTTAGTGAAATCTATTAAGACAAATGAGAATACAGGCCAGTCTTGTCATGATGTAAAATACATGAGTGATAACAGATGGTGTCTCTTTCAGCCCCCACTGTCTGTATGTAGTGAGAGCTGCCCCCCAGGCACCAGACAAGCAACAAGGAAGGGACTTCCTCTCTGCTGTTTTGACTGCCTGCCTTGTGGAGATGGAGAGTTTTCTAATACAAGAGGTAAAAAGTTTATTTTAAACTGTAATATTATTGGAAGAGTTGTTTTTTCCCTCCTTGGCTTATTGTGTCTTTATGACAGATGCTGTGGAGTGCATGATGTGTCCAGATGAGTTTTGGTCCAGTCCGGATAAGGATCAATGTGTCCCAAAAGAAGTAGAGTTTCTGTCCTATGAGGATCCTCTGGGCATCTCTCTGACCACTGCTTCTCTGCTTGGCACCTGCTTCTGTGCTCTTGTGATGATCATATTTGCTCTTCATCATAACACACCCATAGTACGAGCCAACAATTCAGAGCTCAGCTTCCTGCTGCTTTTGTCACTCAAACTGTGTTTTTTATGTGTGCTGCTGTTCATCGGCCGACCACAGTTGTGGACGTGTCAGTTAAGACATGCTGTGTTTGGCATAAGTTTTGTTCTGTGTGTCTCCAGCATTCTGGTCAAGACTATGGTGGTAATAGCTGTGTTCAAGTCCTCTCGGCCAGAAGGCAAAGGAGCAATGAAATGGTTTGGAGCATCTCAACAAAGATGCACAGTTCTGGTCCTTACGGCCCTCCAGGTTGTTATATGTGCAGTCTGGTTATCAACAGCCTCTCCAACACCCCATAAAAACAATCATTACTTCCGCTCTATAATAGTATATGAATGTGCCATTGGTTCAGTGGCTGGTTTTTCTCTGCTGTTGGGATACATTGGACTGTTGGCAGCAATAAGTTTCCTGTTAGCCTTCTTGGCAAGAAATCTCCCAGATAATTTCAATGAAGCAAAGTTCATCACTTTTAGCATGTTAATCTTCTGTGCTGTGTGGATTGCATTTGTTCCAGCCTATGTGAGTTCGCCAGGAAAATATGCAGTGGCTGTTGAGATATTTGCCATATTAGCTTCTAGTTTTGCATTATTATTGGCCATATTTGCCCCAAAGTGCTACATCATCCTGTTACATCCAGAGAGAAACACAAAAAATGCAATAATGGGAAGAGAAACACAAAACAAATAGTTAATTAGTTATTGTGATGTTAAAAATACCTTTTCTCTGGCTCTTTAAATAATGCAATTCATCCATTTCATTTGGTAGTATTTTATGTATTAACCTTCTTTAGTTTAGTTTAAAATATTCTGGTAATTAATTTATTTATACACCTATTCATATTGAAATGGAATTATTTGTCTGCATCATGGTTTTACAACCTGTTTTCATCGTTATTGCTTGATTAGATTAGTGTAACAAATGTTGTCCTTCTTCTAAATGTGTTGATATAAAAATAAAATGTCATGTTTTACAAGACCACAATATTTCATATACTGAAAATGGTGACAGAACAAAATGTTCCTTCTGCCACATCCGGCATTTTTTTGTTTTGGTTTTCCAATTATAAACTCAATCACAAAAATTCATTATAACTACTTTAAGTAAAATTATTTATTAGCCCCCCTTTGAATGCATTTATATATATATATATATATATATATATATATATATATATATATATATATATATATGTATGTATATATATATTTTTTTTTCTTCTTTTTATATCAATATCTACACATTTTCAAATTTATAGTCTAGAATGATCCTAGCATGTTTTGCCTATATATATATTATTAAAAAATTGGTAGAGACAATTCCCCTTAATCAGTGGGAAATTTATAACTATAGGGATTGTTTATGTCAGTAATTGTTAGATTGAAAAAGGCATGGATATTGAGAATATGTTTGGAATATTATCATTTTCATAAGGTTTATTCTTCCTGAAAAATAGTTTTGACCATCTTGTGAGGTCTTTCTTGATACGCAATATTGATGTTTTAATGAGGGTTGCCAACTCTCACGCATTCGGTGTGAGAGTCACGCAATTGGCCGTATTCTCACGCTCTCACGCCACACATCCATTTTCTCACGCAGAAAAAAATTTATCCCCATGAATATATTTTCCCTTTATAATAAAGACGTTGTTAAAGACTCTATAGTTTTCTAAAGATGTTATTCTGTCTATGTGCAACCGATCCAACGCTGGTGAAAGCAATGTAATCAAAAACAAACTGACACATTTGAGCAGAAATCATACCTGCCCGCCTCTCGCACCGCACCTGCTTGACGCTGATGCACTGCTCGCGTTGCTGCTCCTGGTATGAAACCCGGGTGTGTGAACATGCATGCCGGTGTTACAGTAGGCGCTGCTCACGCACCGCTCGTGCGTTGTACAACAGGTGTTGAGAAATTTACCTCTGAAATAGCGGGGTGAGTGGGGCAGCTTGTTAAGCGCACAGCATCATGTTTTGATGCGATGGATTATGAACCCGGTTCGAATCTATCGTCTTATAAAAATGTTCTTCTTTTTTTCCCATATCAGATTTTGCACACTCTTCATCATGAGGAAGACAAGTAGGAATCATTAATAATTGTGTGTATTATGGAAGACTCAGATTCATATCTGGATTGGAGAGGTGTTATATCCAAATCATATGTATTATAAGTTTGTAGAAGTTATACATTAAAAATACCCTTAAATATACATTTTTAGTGTATAACTTCTGCGGGCAATACATTATAGAATGATTTTATTAAAAAAATATTTATTAATCTTATTTTTTAATTCACTATAGGGGTGTGGCCATGTAGATGGCCTACAAGACATTGTGCCCAGGGGCCTCTGAATTCTCAATCCACGCCATGTTTCATAGACTTTTATTGGGATTATCAGTCTACATGAAAACAAAAAGCCATAATTGATCAAAACGTAATATGATTATTATCTTGATGGATAAAGCAAAAACAATAAGTGGGATGCATTTTAAAATGCACTAGGTTTACAAATAAATGTAAAAGCAAATCTGTAATCTTCTGTAAGGGAAGGGTTCACTCTTATTAGTGTCATAATGATGTTATTAAAAAATTATTAATTTAAGTTAATAGATGCACATTTCAGACGGGCTGCATTTTAAGGCAGGGGTAACAGCCTTTAATGTACAGGTGTCGGCACGCAGTGAGTTTTGGAAATCGACAAAATTAAAGTTTAACTAATATGATGATGATCTTATTTTGACTAGCATATCTCCTGATAGATTTTTTTGTATGAAGCAGAAAGGAGGGAGGAAGTCAGGGAGTTTAGACTTAATAAACCTAATTCTTGGTCATAACATAAGTCTGGTCTGAGACAACACAATAGATAATTTTATAAAACACATGTTTTGTGTTCAATACAATCTGTACAATTTCATTCTAATGAAATTAATATTGATTTATTAGTTTTCCTTTAGCTTACTGTCTATTTCAGAGGTCACCACAGTGGAATGAACTGCCAACTGTTCCGGCATATGTTTTACGCAGTGGATGCTTTTACAGCCGCAACCTAGTACTGGGAAACACCTATACACACTCATTCACACATACACACTGATGCACTACAACCAATTTAGTTAATCAATTCCCTAGTTCACTCAAACCAGTGACCTTCTTGCTGTGAGATGACAGTGCTGACCACTGAGCCACCATGTGTCATGAAATTAATGTTTATTAATATTTTTCTTAAATGATCTTAGCCTATCACTTTGGCTGTATTTTTACATTGTTTTCCAGTTACAATTAAAATTTTTTTTTTCCATTTATTTATTTATTTATAATAGAATAATTGTATAATTGCAATGATACTCTAAATTGTAATGAATATTTTAAAAACTATTTATTAAAATAATTTATCATTTTATATATTTATAAATAAACAGGGCGTGGCTTTGTTGTGGGGGCGTGGCTTATGGATATGCTCATGGCTTAAATTCTCACTCCAAGCTAAAGCCAAAAGTTGGCAGCCCTGAGTTTTAATATTGGTATCATAAAGATAGAAAATCTAGGGTGTAATACGGATACCCAAGTATGTGTTACCCCTAGGGGACCATTTGAATGGCTGAATAAAATTTCAGCGTTCATCACTACTAAGATTTCAGATATAAGATTACGATTAAGGTGGCATATTATATTAAACAAACTTTAAGTATTGCAGAGTGGCAGCCTTTTATAAACCTAGTCTGATCTAGGTCTGTGATGTCAGGGATTACTTGCCTGAGACATTTAGAATCCTTAAGTCTACATTTATCAAACCGATTGGTCTGTTGGAGCTGCATTTCTCTTAATCCTTTTATTTTTGTGTATTACAATAATATCAGCCATATTTATATAATTAGAGAGGTTGGATGAATGAAAAGAGGTATTGATAGCTTTCAAGAGGTAAAGGCTATTATCATTCATAATTAAAAAAAGAATGCACTGGATATCCATCAGGCCCTGGTGATTTTCCTGATTGTAATGAGTTTTATTTATTATTATTGTTTTAATTTATAAGAGTGTGATGGGAGCTTCAATGAGTTCTTTTTTTTTATATTTATTTTAGGAATGCAAAGATCTTTGAAGGATATTTTCTGATTTACTTTGTGTATTTCTGATTTATTTGTGTATATCTGATTTATATACGTTTTTATAACATTGTCTAAATGTCTCACTTATTTTTTCATTTTCTGTTATTCTACATTCTAAGGGATCCGTAATTGCGGAAATTTATCTTTTTATGAAAATCTCCTTAACCAATCTAGCTAGAAACTAATTGAGTTCATTGCCAATTTCAAAGAATCTTTGCCTTGCAAAAAATATATCTTTATCTTCTTTCCTAGCAACACATTTCTAAACATAACTAATTTCTAATAACTGATTTATTTTATCTTTGCCATGATGACAGCACAAAATACTTGACTAGATATTTTTCAATATAGTAGTATTTAGCTTAAAGTGACAATTAAAGGCTTAACTAGGTCATATAGACAACTTAGGGTAATTAGGCAAATCATTAACAATGGTTTGTTCTGTAGACATATATATATATATATATATATATATATATATATATATATATATATATATATATATATATATATATATATAAACATACAGTTGAAGTCAGAATTATTAGCCCCCATGAATTATTTGACCGCTTGTGTATTTTTTCCCTAATTTCTGTTTAACGGAGAGAAGATTCTCTTAGCACATTTCTAAACGTAATAGTTTTAATAACTTATTTCTAATAACTGATTTATTTTATCTTTGCCATGATGACAGTAAATAATATTTTACAAGATATTTTTCAAGACACTTCTAAACAGCTTTAAGTGACATTTTCAGGTTTAACTAGGTTAATTTGGTAAACTAGGCAGGTTAGGGCAATTAGGCAAGTTATTGTATAACAATGGTTTGTTCTGTAGACTATCGAGAAAAAATATAGCTTAAAGGGGCTTATAATTTTGTACCTAAAATGGTGTCTAAAAATTTTAAACTGCTTTGATTGTTGCCGAAATAAAACAAATAAGCCTTTCTCCAGAAGAAAAAATATTATCAGACATACAGTGAAAATTTCCTTGCTCTGTTAAACATCATTTGGAAAATATTTAAAGAGAAGAAAAAATTTTTAAGGGGGCTAATAATGCTGACTTCAACTGTATATATATATATATATATATATATATATATATATATATATATATATATACACACACACACACACACACACACACACACACACACACACAGTCAGAATTATTAGCTCCCCTGTTAGTTTGTTTTTCCCCCCAAATTTTTGGTTTAGTGGTGTGGATTTTTTCAACAAATTTCTAAACACAATAGTTTTATTAACTCATTTCTAACAACCGATTTATATTATATTTGCCATGATGACAGTAAATATTATTTTATCACTTATTTTTAAGACGCTTCTATACAGCTTAATGAGAAATTTACAGCCCTAACTATGTCAATTATGCTAACTAGGCAGGTTAGGGTAATTAGGCAAGTTATTTTATAACGATGGTTTGTCCTGTAGACTATCGAAAAAAAACATATAACTTAAAGGGGCTAATAATTTTGACCTTAAAATGGTTTTAAAAATAAAAACTGCTTTTATTCTAGCCCCCTCAAAAAAAAAAAGATTTTCTCTGGAAAAAAAAAAATATTTTCAAACATGCTGTAAAAAATTCCTTGCTCTGTTAAAAATCATTTGGGAAATATTTAAAAATTAAAAGAATTCAAAGGGGGGCTAATAATACTGACTTCAACTGTATATTGCTAAAGGGTCTAATAATGTTGAACTTAAAATATTTAAAACGGCTTCTATTTTAGCCGATATGAAAAAAATAAGACTCTCCAAAAGAAAAATTACAGGAAATGTGAAAAATTCCTTCCTCTGTTAAGCATCATTTGAGAAATGTTTGAAAAAATAAAAATTACTTATTCAACTGTGTGTGTGTATATATATATATATAAATAAATAAAATTAAAGCGAGGCAGAGGGAAAACACAAACACATACAAACAAGTCCCCAGAGGGTGCTTATTTACAAGTGAAATAGTGATTAAAGTGGTGCTCTTCTTGGGGTGCATGCTCAAGTGCTCCGGGGAGATTGCAGGTTGGTGAGAGTTCTGGTGTTGGATCGGTCACGAGCTGGATTCGGCTGTGGGAGAGACAAAGAGACACAAGCGTTAGCGCAGGGTCAACTTTCTCCTGTGTGGGACTGGCTTTTATCTCTCCCTGGCTGATGAGGTCCAGCTGTGAGCGATCCGGTGCTGATGAGTTTCCAGCTGGGGTGAATTTGTGACCAGGGCAACGTGGCATCAGTAGACTCGTGTGTGTGTGTGTGTGTGTGTGTGTGTGTGTGTGTGTGTGTGTGTGTGTGTGTGTGTAAATATTATTATGTATTATACATTATAATTAATAACTCCTTTAATTTAGGGAGGGATTAGAGAATGACGTTTTGATTTGCAGGTACACCCATTTGACATTTTCTTTTTTAAGGGAACACCCTATACAGTAAAACCTGAAGTTAGTGGGTAACTTGATCGGAAGGGAACAGAAAAATGTGGTTTACTCTGTATATTTACATTTGCCTGTCTTTGAATTGTATCTCTGCAACTTTAATCCTCAAACCAAGTATGTGTTTGCTACAAAGGAGTTTTAAGTTGAATGGAATGTACCAGGATGGAGATTTTATACTCGGAGGCCTATTTGAGGTTCACTTCTTTACAGTGTTTCCAGATCTGACTTTCACAACAAATCCAAAATCACCATACTGTGAAATGTGAGACTCACTGTATAAGTATAGAAGAGATACAATAATATATGTATGTATGTATATATATATATATATATATATATATATATATATATATATATATATATATATATATATATATATAATGTTTTGGCAAAGTTTCAGTGCTTGTATTTGTCTGTTTTCACTTAATGTATGTAATATCATAAATATCAAAAAATGTCCACATTTAATCTTGTTTTTTCTCTAAGATTTAATATGGAAGGCTTCCAGCATGCACAGACCATGGCTTTTGCAATAGAAGAGATAAATAAGAATCCAAAACTGCTGCCAAACATCACTCTTGGATATCATCTTTATGACAATTGTGTGATGCTAGGAATGGCATTCCGGGCTGCCATTTCACTTACTAGTGGGACAGAGGAGTCCTTCTTGAACCTAAATTGCAGTGGTCCATCACCAGTGATTGGGATTGTTGGAGATCCAAGTTCAACTCCTTCCATTGCAATTTCCAGTGTTCTGGGGCTGTTTCGAGTGCCTATAGTAAGATAATTTTTTTTTTCTCTGTGTTTATAATCTACTTGGTGTTCTTAATAGCCATTCTTCCAAATATTTTCATCTGCGTGTGGAAAAAAAAAAGCTTTTTTCTCTTTTCATTTGATCTAATTAGGTTAGTCACTACGCCACCTGCTCCTGTTTGAGTAACAGGAAAAAGTACCCCTCTTTCTTTAGAACAATCCCCAGTGATGCATTTCAGGTACGGGCTATAGTCCAAGTCTTAAAACATTTTAAATGGACCTGGGTTGGTCTCCTCTACAGTGATGATGACTATGGCGTCTATGCTGCTCAGTCTTTTCAGCAAGAAATGCGGCAATTTGGACTTTGTGCTGCATTTTCTGAATTCTTGCCTCATGATAATAATCCCAGAACCATACAGCATATAATGGGGGTTATTCAGGGCTCTACAGCAAAAGCGGTGGTTGTTTTTGCCCCATCATCCTTTCTCATACCTTTGATGAATGAGGTGGTTTTGCAGAATATGACAGGCAGGCAGTGGATTGCAAGTGAAGCTTGGGCCACCTCTCTTGAATCCCATATTCCAAGTTTCCAGCCCTTTTTGAGGGGCACAATAGGAATTGCTATCAGGCGTGGAGAGATTCAAAGACTTCATGACTTTCTACTACGTATTCGCCCTAGTAATGATCCAAAAAATTATATGTTGAGAATCTTCTGGGAGAATATGTTTGGGTGCAGTTTTGGTAAAGGAGATACTGAAGGAGAGCAAGTCATAAAGGTATGTACAGGACAGGAGGATCTGAGCACCACAAATACACCATACACTGACGTCTCAGGACTAAGAGCAGCTTATAATGTATATAAGGCAGTTTATGCACTGGCACATGCCCTTCATGACTTGATGGAGTGTGAGGAGGGGAAAGGACCATTCAGTAAAAACAGCTGTGCTGACAAAACAAACCTAAAACCCTGGCAGGTAAGAGACACATGTATAATCCAGATTCTCTCCAGGCATGTAAATGAGCTGAAGTGAAAACACAAGATATGCTTTATTATCATTGCAGTTTCAGATAAACTTGTAACGCCTGTCCTGTTTACAAACTGTACAGGTGGTTCACTACCTACAGAATGTAAACTTCACTACGGGCTTTGGGGATTATGTGTCATTTGATAAGAATGGAGATGCTTTGGCTATTTATGATGTACTAAACTGGCAGCCAAGCTCCGATGAATCAATAAGGATCTACACGGTTGGTGTTGTAAAAGAAGGAACAGAAACTGGAATGGTACTCACACTGGATGAAGATGCAATATTCTGGAATTTTGAGACGAGAAAAGTAATTAACGATTCATGTTAATGTCATCAATTTTGCAGATATAATGTTTGTCAAATCTTTTTTAGACAAATGATTTGAAAATGATGGCCAGGTAAATGTAACAAAGATCACAACCACATGACTGAGAAGATAATGTCTCTGTCAGCCCCCACGGTCTGTGTGCAGTGAAAGCTGCCCTCCAGGCACCAGACGAGCCACTCGCAAGGGTCTTCCTGTCTGCTGTTTTGACTGCCTGCCATGTGGAGATGGAGAGATTTCTAACACAACAAGTGAGGAGACTGCTCCTGGCAAAATCTTTTATGACTAATGTAATCTTACATTTTTATATTTTTTTCTTTAACTTGCAGATGCTGTTGAGTGCTTTCTATGTCCAGATGAGTTTTGGTCCAATCAATATAATAATCACTGTGTACCAAAAGAAGTAGAGTTTCTCTCCTATGAAGATCCTCTGGGGATCTCCCTGACCACTGCTTCTCTGCTTGGCACCTGCTTCTGTGCTCTTGTGATATTTGTTTTTGCTCTTCATCGTAATACTCCTATAGTACGTGCAAATAATTCAGAGCTCAGCTTCCTACTGCTGCTGTCACTCAAACTGTGTTTCCTTTGTGTCCTGCTGTTTATTGGTCGACCACAGCTGTGGACATGTCAGTTAAGACATGTTGTGTTTGGTATAAGCTTTGTCCTGTGCATGTCCAGTATTCTGGTCAAGACTATGGTGGTAATAGCTGTGTTCAAGTCCTCTCGGCCAGAAGGCAAAGGAGCAATAAAATGGTTTGGAGCAGTTCAACAGAGAAGCACAGTTGTTGTCCTCACAGTCCTCCAGGTTCTTATATGTGCAGTCTGGTTATCAACTGCCTCTCCAACACCCTATAAAAACAACCAATATATCCGTTCTAAAATAGTATATGAATGTGCTATAGGTTCAGTTGTTGGGTTTTCAATGTTACTCAGCTATATTGGCTTTTTGGCAGCAGCCAGCTTTTTGTTAGCCTTCCTGGCTAGAAATCTTCCAGATAATTTTAATGAAGCAAAGTTCATCACATTTAGCATGTTGATTTTTAGTGCCGTGTGGATTGCATTTGTTCCAGCGTATGTGAGTTCACCAGGTAAATACACAGTGGCTGTAGAAATTTTCGCCATTCTAGCTTCGACTTTTGGTTTACTGATTGCCATATTTGCCCCAAAGTGCTACATCATTCTTTTACATCCAGAGAGAAACACCAAAAATGTCATAATGGGAAGAGAAACACAAAATAAATAGGTCCACAAGACTGATGTAACACTGAACTCTTAATTAACCTGTCTCTTATTTTAAATGCCCATGTTTGAGAGTAGGCTTTCAATGATGATGATGAAATTCAAGTGATATTTTTGGAACACATTTGAACATATATCTTTTTCTGTTCTTGTTTTAAAGAAAAGACTTTTAAAGTTGTAGCTGCAGTTTATTAAATTACATAAAACAAGGTATAGCTGTTTGTTTATTGTAATAAAGATCACTGCAATAGAACTTGATTTCAAGGTCTATTATATTAACGCCCTGTTGAAGCACATTATTATATGTAGGAGGGCTTGGAAATAACTCATGAAAGAATAAAGTTACGTTAAAACCAAGCACACCATTGTTTTCTTGTGAAAATCCCAAACAGTTTTAGTAAGGTGTAACCATATAAATGGGCCACCTTGTGTGTATATTTATCCTAAACATAAATTAAATCAAACAAGCCATAGATTTAAACAATGTTTTGCAATGTTGAGACTACATCAACAACGGCCGCATTCATGTGACATTCATGCCCAAACTATGACTCCTAAAGTTCCACTTTGACCTCACACAACACAGAGTGATATTTCTTTTTTTTTATTCAAAACATTGTTCAAGATGTGAAATACTTTAAAACAGAATAAACAGTACATTCATTGTTTCTTTTTTCTACTTCATGAAAAAATTTAATAAATACAAATATATACTTTAATATACTAACTGTGTAGTATGTATACATATTATATATATATATATATATATATATATATATATATATATATATATATATATATATATATATATATTAGGGCTTGCATTGACTAGTCGAGCAATCGATTACTTCAACCACTAGTCGATGCTCTCGGAAGCAATCGACTACTCGAGCATGCATTTACCATTAATGACATCAAAACGACGAACGTATCCAACAAACATCAAGATCCAAGGTTAAAGCTTCCAACTACAACTGAGGATTAAATTCAAGATTATTGACATTATCAACATTAACACCACAGAGAATCCTGTCGAATGGTAGTTACATGGTCTATGCTGCATTAATTCTTCCGTGGCGGGCGCCACACCAAAAAACATTAGTTTCCCATTCAAAACATTCAGTCGTGTTTTTTAGTAGCTGGCTATAATCGCACCAAAACGCCAATACAGGTATATGCCTGCTAATACAATGGGTCGGTTTCTGAGACCCCCCCCCCCTCCCTGATTCAAAGCTGTAATAAAGTTCACGGCCCTTTGGCCGCCGGGAAGAAGGAGGCGGAGAACCGACGCAGTTTTAAAATGATTTATTAATAACAGTCTAAAACCAGAACAAACGGACGGCAGCTCCTCACGGAGACTGCCGTCAAACTGAAAGCAAAAGTAAAATATGTCCGGGCCCGTCCTCTCTCGGCTTCCTCTGTCCTCGTTCCTCCTTTTATAATCCAGAGCTACTTCCGTGGGATCCGAGGCAGGTGCGCACCGCAGGTGTATCCACTTACGCAGTGGCCTCACTCCGTTCCCACGGCTCTCGGCCACGCCCCCTCGCCACAAAATCCTTCAAGTTCATATATATATATGTGTGTGTGTGTGTGTGTGTGTGCGTGCGTGCGTGTTTGGGAGGAGGGGGGCGCCAATGGATAAGTTGTGTCAAAAGGGAGGCCTACTGTCTTAGACTTTGAAAAACCCTGAGTTAGAGTAACTAACTGTTTTCATAAGTATACTTTATACTGTAAGTTTTCATAAGTATACTTTATAGATAAAGTTCTATTGCTCTGTATATTATGATTTTATCTCATAAATTATGCGCGCAAGCAAAGAGATTGAAATAACGCTATAGGTGTTTGGTAGATCTGTATAAAAAGCCTGCCGCCACAGCTGGAAAAATCCTATAGGAAACACAGAGCAATGTAATGAACATCAGTTTCCTTTACTATCCAAGCAAGCGAAATAATTTCTTGCTATCCCTGCCACCAACACACGAAGGGAAAGAAATTTTCTTTGGCCGGCAAACAAGACAAAGAGCAACCTGCGTCCCTCTCAAGAGGATGCGCTTGTATTTCTAAATGTAAACCAGCAGTCCATAAGCTTGACCAAAAACTGATGAGAGCGGGGATGACTTGTGTTCTGTATAAAGTCGGATGAAGCAAGATTCTATCCCTTAGTTCTGTCGAAAACAAGGTAAATATAAAATGATTAAATTGCAAGACGGGCTTTCATTCATAGTTGCGTTGCTGTGTTTTTTTCTATGACTTTTTAATATAAAATACATTTTCATACATACATTATGTCTGCATGTTAAAATATCATAATTTGTTCAGTCATTTGTTATTTTACTGTGTCTGCGCATATTTTATTCATTATTTTAACATATATTGTTTCATTTATTTAAATAATTTATTTATAAATATATTATTTATTTTCTGTATAGACTATTGTCGCTTGTTGAACTATTTCTTTTCTGAACCAAAATAATTTTCATTCTTGTTATCACTGCTGGAAACTTAAATATTAGAGTTATTTTTTTAAATCAGACTACTTGTTGTATAACAGACTATTACTTGCACGCACATGATCGTTTGCATAATCTTCAAGCCAGTTGAAGAAATATATTCGTTCATTTTGTTATTTTAGTAACAGTTGAAACGTAGCAGAAATTAAATGATTGAATGAGATTTAGCCTATAGCTCAGAATAATTTTATTAATCTTTTATTTAGTTTTATGAATACTGCGTTATGAGTAAGAGTTTTCAGGACGCATTTTAGGTTTCGGGTGTGGCTACTTTTACTTTCTATAGCCTACATTAAATGTATAATTAAAATGCAATAATTAACCTTGCTATTTTTTCGTTTGTATTATAAATATTTCATTTAAGTATTTTCAATTTCAACTTTTTATTTAATGCATTATTTATTAATTTAGGCTATTTATTTATTTTTTGCAGGTCAGCTGTATTGTTGACGAGAACTATTTTTATCTTTCTGAACTGGTTTAACAGTTAAGTTTTACTTATTTCTTATTACGGCTGAAAAATAATAAAGTTACTTTAATAACTTAAAGTATTACAGGATGAACATGAGTTTGCTTTGCATATACAGCAAGCTTATGACGCAGATCTTAAAAGACAATGTTGCGTGCAGCTTTTTTATTTTTATATTACTCTGTAACATAAAAAAGTAATATAATGTTTGACAATTTATGTTAGCGCTATGAAATCAATGCATTCAGCTATGAATTACTAAGTGATGTTTTGTATACAAATTTCGGGAGGAGCATGCGCAGAAGTTTCAGTATCTAATATGTCATTGAACAAACCCCTATATATACCAAAGCTGTCTTACCTGCAGCATCTCTTGACTTAAGACTCACCATCACTTAAATCAACAGTGCTATTCGAACTCTATCCACTAGTCGTCGCTGCATCCCTATGGGGGAAAGAATGGTCCTCTTCCAGTATTATAATTCACTGTGACAATGAAGCAACCGTTCACTGTATAAATAAAGGCCGTTCAAATTCTATAGCATTAATTCCCCTACCCAGACGCCTCACTTGGATATCAGCATGTGACATATTTATTTTAACTGCAAAGCACATTCCTGCATCCAAAAATCAAATTGCTGACTCTCTCTCTCGTTTTGCTTTCCAGAAATTCAGACATTTGGCACCAGAGGCGGATCAATTTCCAGTCCAAGTCCCTCCTAATTCAGAGCTGATATTTCCATAGATCATCCTTTAAAAAAACCTGCTTGGAGCCTCCCTCGAATATATCCTTCAGGCGGTGGCGCCTAGAACCCTGCAGTCATATTTAACAGCATGGAAAAGTTTTAAAACATTCCACGCATGTTATAACATACTGTTTCCTGATTTTTCCCTACTTACCATCTCATCTTATCTAACCTACCTGACCATTATCAAAAAACTCCAGATCAATTCCATCAAAGGCTATTTGAGTGGACTTCAAATTTTCCACAAACTAATTTATGGTTCCCCCGCACCTCACTTAGCTAATTCTCAAACTGCTCTTTTATTGAAAGGCATACAAAGAACCCACCCCACACGTCAAGACACACGACATCCCATAACGCTGAAAACACTCACTAAATGCATATCCACTTTTCGCAAAGGATACGAATCAATCCACATAGCACGTACACTCGATGCAATGTTTATTTTAGCGTTCTTCAGATTTTTGAGGTGTTCAGAACTCACCGTTACATCTGGGTTCAACCCAAACATTCATCCCACCGTATCCGATTAAGTAACATTAGACAACGAAACCATTTCCTTTTTTATTAAGCAAAGCAAAACCGATCAAGCTAAAAGAGGCCATTACATCTACATTTACAACCTTCAATGACCCATTTGTCCATACCAAACACTGCTAGAATTTTCACAAATCCGGAAATCTAAAGCCTCTTCCTTAGCAGACCCTCTATTCACAGACAATAGCATTCGCCCAGTCACCCGTTTTTGGTTTCAAAAGCATCTTAAATGCATCCTTTTTAAGTCCGGCTTCCCAGCCGACAACTTCTCAAGCCATTCTTTCAGAATAGGCGCAGCTACCACCGCAGCACAAAATGGTCTATCAGAGCAGCAGATCCAAACACTCGGACGCTGGTCCTCTCAGGCCTTTAAGTGCTACATTCGATCTGACTGCTCTCACATTAGAAGAACCCAACAAACCCTCATCAAAAAACCCCTCTAAGAAAAATTCGACACCCCCTAGAGCAGTGGTTCTCAAACTTTTTTCACCAAGTACCACCTTAGAAAAAAGTTGTCTCTCCAAGTACCACCTTACGACGCTATTTTTTAACCAGTATTAAAAAATAGCGACGTAGGCCTAATTAAGCAGCTACAGGTGTGCACATTGGTAAAAACGATGCAGATTAATTTCTATTATTAAGAATATGTATTATTGTCAGTCACTTTAAACATTTTAAATAGTCTGAACATTAACTGTGCGTGCAGGTAAAAAAAAAAAAACATTTTAGTTAAAATGTGCTTTTAAAAGTTTATTAAAAAATGGCACTGTTCTTAAAAAGTAAAAAGAAAACTGCTGTACTTAAATCTAAAGTTTTCATAATAGCCTATTCATCAAAAGTTGGAAATGTTGCTTGGATCTCATAAATATAGGCTAAATGTCATATTCATACACTTTCAGACAAATCTTGAAATATATGTTAAATGTACATATGACAGGGTTCATATAGGGACAGCCTAATGAAAATCAATTCCAGCACCTATTTTTTTCAAGACTGACATGCTATGTATTGAAGACCTGAAATGTATTGTCAGCAACCCATAAAACATTATATAGGAATAGATACAAATAAAAACCATTAATGATAATAATAATAATAATAATAATAATAATAATAATAATAATATTTATTAACCATATATTAATAATATAATAAACCTGCACTAAATGCTTGTAAAATCTTTTTTGTACTCAAGTAAAAATACTATTACACTGCTAAAATAACACAAATTTTAGTAAATAATACTAATATTAGGTAAAAGTACAAAGTACTCTTTTAATAAGTACTAGTTAAAAAAATCTGATTTTCATTATGAAATCACTTTTTTTTAAGTGTAAACCGGATTGAATGGTTTAATTGCTTAAATCCCAAAGCTACATGTATAGGAACTTGCACTAACAAAGGAA